GTCCGTTTGTCCTGTGTTAATTTAAAAAGTTTTATGAGACTTAAATTAAAATTCCCATCACAAGACTAAATGTAGACGCGGTCCAAGAGATCGAAATGATCTTTGCTAGAGTCTTGTGTTTAATTACTCGTAACTCGGAATAAAAAAAAAATTTACATCTCTAAAAAAATACCGTCGATCGAAGAGGGACTTTCGTTGTTCCCCGTTTTTTTTTTCGTCAATTTTTTTTTTCCTGAGTCTCATTCGCGAGCACTTCCGTTGTAAATACACAAGCTCAGCAGCGAACGTAATTTGCAAACTTTGACTTACTTGGGGGAGTGTATATTCTCGACGCGCAACTCGCTCCTTGTAATCGTATTCCTCTTTGTAGTTGAAGTCCTAGTAAAACGATGTACTTCTAGAGCTGAAGTTTCTAACCTCGGATTTGATCTCCATCAAGGCTTTGGAAGTCAAGTGCAATCCAGTAAACATTTCCTCTAAATTCACGGAATTCATGTTTCAGAGTGTGTATGTGTACTCCACATCTGTTTACGATCTGAATTTGACCTCTATATTCACATCATCATCGTCGTCGTAGTAGTTGTCGTCATCCTTTTCGAATATAGTGAGTGTTCCTCTTCAAGGCTACCGCTATATGTCTACCATTCAGACTATAAAGTGATAATCACAAATTCAAGGTAAGAATTTGATTCGCAGACCCAACAAGAAATAGCATGACCTTTACCCTTAAACGCCCATATATTTTATTCTCCATTACCTCCACCAATATCTCTAAATCGATCAGGAACTTCAAAACCCTCTTTGGAGGGTTTGAAAATATTCGAAATAGGGGAAAAAAGAAAGTTTTCCTCTTGGGAATGTGTGAAGAGTTCGGAAATCATTTTTTTGAAATAATTTTTTTTTTCCCAAAAAAAGAAAATATTAATCCAAAGATATTTTTGTGTCGATAGAAGGAATTTTTTACAAAGATTGAAAAAAGTATATTTCAGTTGAAACATTGAATTATGTAAATCATTTTTAATGAGCCATCTAGCGGTAGCGTCGGTCAATTAAAATGCTACTAAAGTCAGGAAATAGTTAACCCACGCCTCCGCTAGGTGGTGCAACGTAAAAATAGAAAGAGGAATTATTTCCTGACTTTAGTATAATTTTAACTAACCGACGCTACCGCTAGATGGCTCTTTGAAACTCATTTAATACAATGGAGTTTTCAACTGAAAATTTTTTTTTTCAATTCTTAAATAAATATTTAATCATTATTTTCTCATATAGAAATTGAGATTTTCAAAAATTTGAAATTCAAACCTTTTGATAAAATCGTAATTTTTTATTATAAAAATATTGTTACTGTAACTTACTTCAAAAATTATATTATCATTTCAGTTTAGATAATTATTAATTTTTAGAATTTTTAACTAAAATTCTTCTTTAAATCAATTTTTTAAAAATTTCTTTGAGAATTTTCAAATCCTTTTGATTACAATTCAATTTTTTTATTAGAAAATTCAAAAGAAAGAATTCAATTATTTATGTACAAAAATAAAAAATTTATTGAATAATTGAATGTTTTACAAAATTTAATTCTCATAAACAATTTTATCAACAAATTTTTAAATAATTAAATTATTTCTACAAATTATATAATAAAATTTGTAAGAGTAATTGCGATTTTCGAGAAATTCAAATAAAATTGTATTAAAAATAATTGAAATTCCGCGATGTGTTTTATTATTTATAAAAATAATTGAATCCCAAAGAAGAATATTATATAAAACTTTTTTAAATAATCAATTTTTTTCGAAAAATTTTCTCCAAATTATATTTTAAATAATTAAACTCTTGTGAAATTTTTCACTATTTAAAAATACAATTGAATGTTTGCGTAGAATTTTAGAAAAATTTATTTTGAATAATTGAATTCTTTTGGTAAATTCAATTTTTTTTTAAATTCACATTAAAACGCGTTTAATAATCAATAATCGAAAACTATAACTGAAATTTATTTTGAAATTAATATTTATTATAAAATTCTACTAGAATTAAATCATTTAAATACAAAGATAAATATTTTATTGAATAATTTAATTTTTCTTAAAATTTGAATTTTCATAAAAAAGTTTATCAACAATTTTTTAAATAATTAAATTCTCTTGACAAATTTTAATGAAATTTTTAAGAATAATTTTATTTTTCTAGAAACTTGATTTAAATGGTATTAAAAATAATTGAATCCCTGTGAAAAAAATTTGATTACTTACGAAAATAATTTTTAATTATTATATTATATTACATTATAATTATATATATTATTAATAATTATAATATAATATTATAATATTATAATTATATTATAATATTATATTAATATTATATATTATTAATTATATATATTATTTATTATATTATATTATTTAATAATTATTGCGAAAAAATTTATTTAAAAAATTGTAAATAATTGAATTCCTGTGAAATTTTTATTATTTATGAAAATAATTAAATATTTGCGTATAGAATTTTATTAAATTTTATTTTAACAATTCAACTTGTGAAATTTTATTAAAGTAGTAGATTAAATTTTGCCAAGAATTCTATTAAAAATTATTTAAATAATTTAATTCTTTGATGAATTTTAATAAAATTTATATGAATAATGACATTTTTAGAGAAATTCCATTAAAATTATATTAAAAATAATTGAAAGTCTGCGAAGAGTTTTATTATTTACTAAAACAATTGAATTTCTAACAACAATTTTATTATTTATGAAAGTAATTTAATTATTGCGAAGAAATTTTAAAAAAATAATTATAATCCTGTGAAATTTATATTATTTATGAAAACAATTAAATGTTTTCTTAGAAATTAAAAAAAAATTTTCTTCAAATAATAGAATTCTTTTGGAAAATTTGTTTAAAATAGTAGCTATTGAAAATAATTGAATTTATGAAATTATTTGAAAATATTGAAATTTTGCCAAATATTGAAATTTTGCCAAAAAAAAATTTTGGGAATAAATTACATTTTTCTAGGAATTTGATTAAAATTGTATTTAAAATAATTGAAATTCCTTAATAAGTTTTGAAATTTATGAAAATAATTGAATTCCTAACAAGAATTTTATTATTTATGAAAGTAATTGAATTATTGCGAAGAAATTTTTAAAAAAATTTGAAAATAATTGAATTCTTGTGAATTTTTTATTATTTATGAAAATTATTCAAATGTTTGTGTAGAATTTTATCAAAATCTTTGTTTTTTACATAATTGAATTCTTTGGAAAATTTTTAATAAAATAGTAGGCAGATATTAAAACTTATTGTATCGTGGAAAATTTGTAAAGTTAATTTTGGAAAAGAATTTTCTTATTTATAAAGATAATTGAAATTTTGATGAGAATTTAAAAAATATTTTGAACATAATCAAATTTTTGCCTAGAATTCTATCACTTTTGAAAATAATTAAATTTCTGCAATGTAACTGCTTCAAAATTCAATTTCTTTTAGTGTTTTTAACTGAAATTTTTCTATAAATCCATCATTTTTAATAATTAATTTAATTGAATTAATAAAATTAATTCCCTGATTTAGATTTTACAAGGTTTTTTCAAAGTTTATAAAATTCCCTAACATTTCTAGGTTTTTATGTTGCGTGGCAACCCTGATAATCTTAGGAAAATTCCTACTATCAGCACAAAAATATCTTTGGATTAATATTTTCTTGAAATCTTTCTATTAATCCAAAGATATTTTTGTGTCGATAGAAGGAACTTTTACAAGATCGAAAAAAGTAAGTTTCAGTTGAAAATTTAATTGAATTAAATCAGTTTCAATGAGAGACATCTAGCGGTGGCGTCGGTCAGTTAAAATGCTACTAAAGTCAGGAAATAGTTAACCCACGCCTCCGTCAGGTGGTGCAACGTAAAATCAGCAAGAAGAGCGAGCTTCGAAAAATTGAAAAAAGCAAATGGCTTCATTAAAAATAAATTTTTCTTTTAATCAAGATCGTTCAAGTCTAAAGAGGCTCCTCTCCTTCCTAAAAAAAAAGAATTTAAGACGTTTTTAAGGATATTTTGAGCTTCTTTTATAAGGTTGAGTGAAACACCATAAATCCAGTGAGTGTGGTCTCGTCTGAAAAGTTTTCATAGCCGAGTTTCCCTTTCCACATTTCCGTCTCATTAAGAAGTTCCTGGTCATCAAATTTTATTAACCCCACTTCAAGGCATACCTTACTTCTAACTCAATATCGTAGATTCGTAGTCTCGTTTTAACTGCCCTTCCTTTTGCCTTCCAAACTCTTAAACACAAAACCCTAACCAGGGAAAATTCTCTCTCCCTCATACTCTCTCTCTCTCTCTCTCTTTCACTCTCTTGTGCTCTCCTTTCTGCTCTATGGCAAACGTATGCTGCACGTTCTTATTGGTGGACTTTGGCGTTTCTAGAAACGACTATAATTCTCTGCTTTACGGCTGAGAACTAATTTCCGAGGCGTTTTCCTTCTTCTTTACTCTCTTCTGCGCTTTTATCGGAAATCTTGGCCTTTGCCTTTTGGTTAGAGCCAATAACGAAAGCTTATACATAACGATGAACATTGTAAAGAGAGTCCAGAAGAAAGGGAAAATTATGTAGCATGCTTGAAATTGGATTTCATTTTCTTTTTGGAAAAATTTAATAAGTTTTTACTCTCGTGTGGTGTTTTTTTCCATTTTCAAATATAAAAGTGTTTTGGAAATTTTTAAAGAGTTTTTTATTAATGTTTTGGAGTTAATGAATAGTTAGCCGACGCGTTCGCCAGGTGGAGCCACATTGAAAGGGGGGAAAGAGAACCTTCTGAATAGTTACCCCACGCCATCGCCAGATGTCGACACTTCGTTCTCGGTAACACAAATGTTCCAAAAACGACAACAATTTGAAGGAATGAAAAAGTCATTTAAGAAGAAAAAGAACGAAAGATAACAATGAGGAATAGCCTGGAAATAAATTTTTTTTGCAAAGTTTTCTCACCTTGTGCGGCTGTGATTGCGTGGGTTCGGAGGAAAGGAGCTGCTTGAGTGCAGTGTGTCCATGTCCATTTTGACTTGACGGTGCTCCTGGTGTGCTGGGAGTACTTGGATTACTGTTCGGTGTATTAGGCGTATGTGGTCCAGTTGTTGGACTACTTGGACTAATACTCTCATTAACTTTACTACCGGCATGATGATTTTCCGTGTGCCTTCTCAAACTTCTTGCGTCACAATATGACTTCCCACAGCCTTCTGCTTTGCACTCGTACGGTTTTTTATTTCTATGCGTCAGCATGTGTCCGTTTCTGCAAAAAAAAAAAAAATCCACAAAATAATTATTTTTCTCTCCACATTCAATAAAGGGGGACCTTAGAAAAAAACTAGGCTAAGTCCATAAAAACTGAACACTAATGTTTTTGGTAAAGGTCCCTTTATCCGCTAAGCTTTACAATTTGAAAAAAATTTTTTTGTCTTCTAGAATCGTCCTTTTATTTAAATGTTAGTCGTCCTAGGTAAACTATTTAAATTGATCCCGAGGTTTTTTTTTATGCGCATGTAAAACAAAACCTAAAAGGAAGGAGCATCAATTTCAAGGGTTAAACAAGGGTCCTCGAGCACTACTCGTCACTCACGGTCAAAGAGGATTAACAGGCGTGTATTCGCTTAAGAGAAAAGCTCTCTCTCTCTCTCTCTCTCCCTCATTCCTTCTCTCACTTTCCCTTTACTGAGGAATGTTTTGAAATTCGAGTACTCGAGGATTACTGGAATTAGTTGTACTGAAACAGTGTCGCGTGGAATATATACTACTATCTCCAGTGAGGATCTATTCCATTCGGAAATCCCTGCGCTCTCGATATCGGAGAGAGCATCTAAACTGACACACCCTCTCACTCCTTTCTCTCTCTCCCCTTTTCCGTACAGGCACCTCAACCCACTTTGCCAACCTCACCCGACCTTTTCCAATACCCAGAGGCTTGGTTAAAGAGATAAGTCTGCACTTAACGCGCCAGTTGAAAGCACTAGGTAACGGGACAAGAGAGACAGAGAAAGAGATTTAGAGAGAAAGGGAAGTTGAAAAGGGAGCAAAGTTTTAAAGGGGCAGGAAGTTAAAAAGAAAAAGTTGAGAGGAAAAATTACGATCATTTTGGAATAATAGTTTTTTTTTCAACCTCCTCCCTTAGAAATTCCGCACTAGTGTTGTTAATGCACATAAGCTTTTTTTTAATCATCAATAATAAAAGAATTTCTGTGCAGAGGAAAATTCTAATCATATTTTGCAAGCTGGCAAATTTTTTTTTAATTAAAAATATTAAAATTTTTCTGCAATTAGGATTTTTTGTAGTTGACTGACGCTATCGACAGATGGCGCACGGAGCTTGTGGTTTACTGTCGTGATCAATAGTTAACTGACGCTGTCGACAGATGGCGTACTGAGCCTGTAGTTAACTGTCTCTCTCAATAGTTAATTGAAATTGTAGTTAACTGACGCTGTCGACAGATGGCGAACTGACCTTGTGGTCAACTGTCGCCATTAGTAGTTAACTGACGCTGTCGACAGATGGCGTACTAAACTCTGCTTTTTTTCGATACAAAAAGTTTATTTTTCAAAAAAAGGACATAAAGGTTCCTCTTCAATACAGCTGGTTAATTTTCAAAAGTAATATAAAGACTCGCTGCCCTGGATATGTCTTTTGAAAGCAACAAGTTGTCAGCCCAATTTCATCAGTCAGGGGCCAAGGAAGAAAGACTCGGCCAGACAAAGCGGAGAACTGCGAGGGTTGGGGGGGGGGAAGGATTTTAGGAAGTTGGGTAACTTCGTCATAATTGCATTAATCCCGAAATGGGTTTCGCGGTGAACGACGTCATTAACTAGAGCCCCGCTTCTGAGATGGTAAAGTGAGAATAAAATAAATCGTAAGTCCTACATGAAAACCTTCTTTCTTCCCCTGTCTAAATCTTTTTTTCCTCCCCTCTCTTTTCTTTTTATTTTAATTCAAAAACTTTCGATAGTATACATTTTCCTCCCTTCCCAATCGCCTTGATGATAATTTTCAAATAGATTCCCCCCCCCCAAACTCTTCTCTTTCTCTCATCAATGGTAAAATATTAATTAAAAGTTATCCGCAGGAAAAGTTTCATTCTCCTATTGTTATAAAGTCAATTTCAATCAACGCTCACAATTTTATTGAGTAAATAAAAAAAAAATATTATTCACTTGAAAATTTAACCGAACCTGGAGAAATGGGGTTTAAACTTGTAAAAGCTAATTTACCCAAGTTTTCGTTGGAGATAGTATTGGCGGAGAATTAGTCGCTTTGCGAATTGTGCCTCAATTGCCTGGCAATCGAGGAAATGTAGATTTCGAGAGTGGGTTGGGGATGAACAAAAAAATACTTCTCGAGAAAGGGGAAAAAGTATGGAATAGGAGAAAAAAATTAAATTTGGATATAGTTATTCTCAGAAAATGTTGCGCCACATACGGGACGCTAACGAACTTCTAATTTCGAAAATAAATTCGCCACGAAAAATTGTATTCCAAGGGGAATTAAAAAAAATGTTTTTAGAGTATAGGAGAAATGTTAACTAGAAATGGATTTGAGAGAGCATGAATAATAGTCTTGCTGGAGTCAGCTAGCTCTCTTTGTGAAAAGTCCAACAAAAATAAAAAAAAAGGAAAAGAACACGTACTATAAGTAAAAAAAAAATGACGAACTAGAATGGACCCGATTCCAAAGTGAATCGCAAGTAAGAGAAAAGCTTGCTGGCCAATGTGGAATTGAGAGTCTCAGAGACTTTGAAGAAAATACAACGAGTCTAACCAGTCAAGCCAGGAGGAAAGAAACCTTCCAGGCTTCACTATTGATTTTCTTTTATTCTCTTTTTCCCATTCCAGGAAAAGAATTGAATCCTTAGTCCCAATAGTACGCTTCCCTGAGTTCGCAACCTGCTTTTCTCTCTCGACGCCCCCTACAATCTTAGATTTAACTTGTCGAGTCATGGCCTCTCTCTCTCTCTATACTCCAGTCGATAAGCTACAAAGATCAAATCAATTTCTACTTCTTTTTTTTGTGTGTATGTTTCTTTAAATGCAAAAAGAGACTAGCTACTTTGCAAATTTTTTCTTGTTTTGTATACATTTTCTAATTCGATTATTTCTGAATAAGCCATAACAGCTTTTAACCGCAAAACTTAAATTAACATACATTTTGCTTTCAACAATATTAGGAATAAGGAAACAAGTGATTTTGTGTTAAAGTTTTGTTGAATAGTTCAGTGACGCGCTCGACAGGTGGCACCACATCGACTTAGAAATACGTTGAACTTATCGGGATTAATAAAAAAAGTGTATTTTTTTGTTCAAATTAAGATAGTGTAGTAGATTCATAGTCAGGGTTTGATTAAAAATTTATTCTGCTTTTGCAGAATTGTTTAGAAATAAAAAATAGTTAACCCATGCGACCATCAGGTAGCGTCAGGTTAAAATAGACAAAATTGGACCATTTTTCAATTATGAAAAGAATAAAAGTCAAAGTAATTACTAAAATTCTTTAGAGTGAGTAAATAGTTAAACACGCGTTCGACAGGTGGCGCCACATAAAACTAGGAACAGTGAGACCCTTTTATTCATGTAGAGAATTAAATTAAGTGCCTGTTTAATATTTTAATAATAATTAAGAACTGGATGTGGATTCGACAATGATATTAATTTTATTAAATAGTTACCCCACGCCTCCGCTAGATGGCAATTGTTACTTTTAAATTAAAAAAAGTTGACTATAAATGTTTGTGACTAAACGCTTTTTAGATACGAATTTGATAGAATCAAGTGCTTACGTTATTCTATAAAAATAATTAACGAATGGATGGGAAAAGGGAAATGGTACTAAGTAGTTACCCCACGCCTCCGCCACGTGGCGCCACCGAAAACTCAAAAATAAGGCTAAATAGTTAAAAAGTCTCTCGAATCAATTAAAAACCTTCTACTTGGGGGTTTTCAAGGTCGCTGATTCTGAATTTTTCATCAAACTTTCAAAAAATCGATTTCAAATTGAAAAAAAAAATAAAAATGAAATAAGAAAACAAAAGACCAAAACACAATTGTCTACTTTAGAAATAAAATGACTATGACTATTTTCACATGACAGAATTTAATTACAGAAGACACATGCTAAACTCACAAGTGGTCCTGCCGCTTGAACGCTTTACCACACATCGTGCAGACGTATTTCCGCTCGTCACTGTGCGTCAGCTTGTGCTTCGTGAGCGCCGATGCGTTGTTGAACACTTTGCCGCATACCTAAAACAGAATAAGCACGTCAATCTCTAAATTCTAATTTCAATTTGAGAAAGTGACAAACTCAACAGATTCAATTAGAAACTAAGAAAACAATTAATGTAATTCATCATTACAATTGTCTATCAATTTAACCTCTTCTCTCGTGAGATTTTATAATATTATTCAAAATTATTTTATTTTCCCTACATATATAATATGCGCAGATATATATATTTTAAACACTGTAGTTTATTAAAATGAAGAAAATTAAATTTCAATGCATCAAAAGCTAATTTAGCTTGAAAATTAACGAGAACAAATTTTGCTGAAGTTGCTGTAGTGCTTCAATGGCTTCCGTTATATTGCTTCAAGAGACTATATAATCAACGTTGAGCATAAAATTAATTTCCAATACACCTGCAACTCATATGGACTTGACAATTTTAAAAATAAAATATAGAATGTGTATATAAAAATCAGGTTAAAAAAAATTTTTTTTCGATACTTTAAAAAAAAAAAAAATTTTTTTCTAAACGTTGGTGAGAGTAACAGGTATTGTAGAAGTAGCATTATGTGCGCGAACACAAAGCGTGAGATAGAAAAAGAAAGATGTTTACTTCTGTCTTTCTCTATCTCTTGTTTGCGAACGAGTTTACAATCTGCGTTACCTTTTAAGGTGATTCTACAATAACTTTTTGGAAAAAATGATGCGCACGCAACAGGGCTCGAACTAGGTCCGTAAATCCCGTAAATGTCCGAAAAATTGTCTAAAGTCCGTAAAAGTCAGCTTTTTTTAAAAAAGGTCCGTAAAGTCCGTAATTTGATTGAAAAAACCAGAAAAGTTCGTAAATTAAACAATAAAATTTGAAAAACTTTTCAGAATTTACAAATAATTGGAAAACTTTAATTATTATTTTCAAAAGTAATAAAATTCTTCGCAAAAATTCAATCAAGTTCAAAAATTTTAATAAATTCTCATAAAAATTTCTATTATCTTTATAAATAATAAAATTCTTCTCCAAAATTCAATTATTTAAAAAAATTTTAATAAAATTCTTGAAAAAGTTCAGTTATTTAGAAAAATAACAAAATTTTTCAAAGGTATTCAATTATTTTTATAAATAGTATAAATAGTAAAATTCTTTGCAAATATTTAATTATTTTTAATACAATTTTTAATAACATTTCATGAAAGAATTCAATTTTCAAAAAAAAATTTAATAACATTTTTCGAAAGAATCCAATTATTTTTTTAAATTTAAATAAAATTCCTCGAAACAATTCAATTATTTTTATAAGCAGTAAAATTCATTGTAAGAATTAAATTATTTTTCATAAATAATAAAATTCTTCTCAGGAATTAAATTATTTTCAATACAATTATTAACAAATTCGATTTTATTCAATAAATTAAAGAAATTTTTTGAAAAAATTCAATTACTTTTTTATAAATTTTAATAAAATTCAAGAATTTATTAAATGTTTCTTTTCAATTATTGAGAAACACGATTGTAAAAACTTTAAAGAAATTGATCATATAAAATTCAATTAGTTTGAAAAATTTCAATTAAAATTATTAAAGAAACTCTATTATTTTAAAGAAATTCAAAGAAATTCTCCATTAGAATTCAATTAGGATTATGAAAAATTTTAATAAAATTCTTCCCAAAAATTCCATTTTTTTTCAAAAAGTATTAAATTCTTTGAAGAAATTCAATTATTATCGAATTTTTTGATAAAATTCTTTCCAACAATTCAATGATTTGCAAATTTTTTATAACATTTTTTGCGATAATTCAATTATATTCATAAATAATATAAAATTTTTACAGGGATTCAATTATTTTCGTAAATAATAAAATTCTTTTTAACAATTCAATTATTTTCATAAATAATAAAATTTTTACAGGAATTTAATTATTTTTAAACATAATTTTCATAAAATTTGATAGGAAATAATCAATCATATAAAATAATTTTTATAAAACTCTTCGCTAGAATTCAATTATTTTAAAAAAAAATTATTTTGAGGAATTTTAATAAAATTCTTTGCAAAATTCTATTATTTTCATAAAAATAACAATATTTATCACAAGAATATTCAATTATTTCCTCGATTATTTCTAAAAGTAATAAATTTCTTCTATTATTTTTTAATTATTTTTAAAAATTCTAATAAAATCATTTGCAAGAATTCAATAATTGTCAAAAATATTTTAATAAAATTGTTGCAAAGAAATCAATTATTTAAAAATTAAAATACAATGTTAATTACATTTTTTTGAAATAATTAAATTATTCTTTTAGATTTTAATAAAATTCTTCCCGAGAATTTAATTATTTACATAAACAATTTTCTTCAAAAGAATTCTATTATGTCAATGAATAACAAAATTATTCCCGAAAATTCAATTATTTTGAAGCATTTTAATAAAATTCTTTGCAAAATTCTATTATTTTCATAAATAACAATATTTATCACAAGAATTTAATTATTTTTAAAAGTAATAAATTTCTTCAATTAGTCTTCAACTATTTTTAATAATTCTAATAAAATTGTTCGCAAGAATTCAATAATATTGTCAAGAATTAAAATTAAATTCTTTGTAATATTTAATTCTTTTTAAAAACTTTTCGCAATTCAATGATTTTCAATATCTATTTTCATAAAATTTCCTAACAAAATTCAATTATTTAACATTTTTTTTGTATGAATCTTCGTAAGAATTCAATTCTTTTCATGAATAAGGAAACTTTCTGAGGAATTCAATTATTTAAATTAGAATCAAAAACTTACGAACAATGACCAATGAAAAAAATATTTAAAACTATCAAAATTTATTTATTTTCAACCATGGCTAAAATCTAGGAAGCCATAACCTCATAATTTATATATTTTGATTATGGTCAAAATCTGGCCAACGGTAAAAATAGTTTAAATATAAAAATTTATATATTTTGACCATTTTTAATTTTTTTTTATTTTTCACCATTCTTTGCTCCTAAACTACTTTTGCCTTTAGCCATGGTTTGCTAGATTTTGAAAATTACTTTGGCTAAAGTCTTTGACCATAGTTAGTTAGAATTCGCCATTTTTCCCTTTTCACGAGGGTAAGCTAGCAATTTACACGATTATAAATTAAATGGATCGTTAATGAAGTTGTAAAAAAAAGGAAACACAATAATGTAGTATAGGAACTGAAAAAGAGGCAGTTATACGATCTTGCAACGACTGCTATCGGTAACTATAGACCATGCCCTATAGCTGCCACTGTAAAATCTAACAACTAGAAGCAACAACGAGTTAACGACATGATTCAATGGTGCAATTTGTTCAAGACCCAGAGAGTTCTTTAGACTCAATTTTTTAATGTCTTTCAATTAAGTGTTTTCAACTTTATGATTATCGTCTATTTATACTATTATTGTAAATTTGTCAATTGTCCACTAAAAACAAGAGTTTACTAAACAATTTTTTAGAGATACTAAAAAATTTTTCATTTTAAAGTACAAATTTATTAATTTTTTTTTTTTTAATAGAATAAATTCTGAGTTTATTGATTTTGAATTTTTCCAACCGTCGTCAGGGTATATCCCCCGTTCCTCTTATATAGATTCTGTTACGTAATTAAATAAGCCTGCCTAAAGCCTTCGACAAGGCTTGACAGTGTATCGACTTAACGAAGAATTAACCCCATCCCCTTAATGTTTCAAATATCAAGGGAAAATTTTGGTTTTAAACTTGAAATTAAGTTTTATAATAAGTCACTGGATATTTTCTGGTTAACTTCTATGGTGTAATTAAGAGAAGAAGGTGTTTTTTAATTAAAGGAAAATTTTTTCTTTTTTTTAATAAAATGTTTGAAAATCAACTTTATTTTTGTCTTTAGCTTGAAATTTTCATTAATAAAATGATTTCTCTTGCTATTTTTATATGTAAATAAGATTTAAATAAAAATAAGCAGAAGATTCTATTAAAAAACAACTTTAAAACACTGAAAAAATATTATATAATGTTAAACAATAAAAAAAACTCATAAATATTCAAAATTAAAGATGGCTGATCTAATATGGCGTCGATTTTTTTAAAATTCACCCAATTCGCCTGAAATTTGTTACTCGGGGGTTTTTGGGGTTGCTAAATACGAATTTCACCTTTGTTTTCAAAAATTCAAAATGGCGGATCCAATATGGCTGACCAATTTTTTAAAAAAATTATTGGATTTATCTGAAACTTTATACTCGAGGGTTTTCGGGGTCGCTGAATACGAATTTCACCTTAGTTTTTAAAAATTTAAAATCTGATAAATTTTTAACTAATTGTTAGCCATATTGGATCCGCCATTTTGGATTTTTTATAACTAAAGTGAAATTCGTATTCAGCGGCCCCCAAGTACCAAGTTTCGAATAAATCTGATATATTTTTTAAAAATACGTCAGCCATATTGGATCCGCAATTTTGAATTTTGAAAACAAAGGTGAAATTCGTATTTAGCAACCCCAAAAACCCCCGAGTAACAAATTTCAGGCGAATTGGGTGAATTTTAAAAAAATCGACAGCCATATTGGATCCGCCATTTTGAAGAAACTTGACGTGATGGCGGAAAACTGAGTTCGTATTCGAATTAAGCGACTCAAAAAAAAAAAAAAAACCATGGTCCGGTCAATACTTTCTTTAAACAAAATTTTGTGGTCCTGTGTAATTTAAAACAGTAATAAAAAAAAATTTTAATTCTTCGATAAGTTTTATTATTTTTGAAAATAATTGAATTCTTGCTTTGAATTTTATAAAAAAATTTTTAAAAATTGATTTTCCATGAAAAATGTTATTATTAGTGAAATTATTTGAATTATTGTGAAGAATTGTATAAAAATTTTGTTAAATAATTGATTTTTTCGAACTTTTCTTAAAAATGATACTCTGAATTAATTGAATTCCTGGGCAAATTTTATTATTTATGAAAATAATTGCATTTTATGAATAATTGAATTCTTTTGCGAAATTTTATGAAAATACTAGA